CAGACAACCACCCAGCCCTTAACTCTTCGATTGTGGTAGAATTTTTCGCGAAAAATCGTAAAAAGTGCGTTTTTATACCTTGTTCTGTTTTAGTGCTTCCGCATCGATTTGTTTCCAGCTTGGACGATTGTTGCTTAGAAATAAGCGCAACAATACGGACAACGTCCCAGGAAACAGGAACGTCATTGCGGGGGAAAAATTCAAAGGACGCATGAAAAATCAAAATCCCGTGTTGCCAGTTGCTGGTCCTGGAGCGAAAACTTGCACTCTGAAAAGCCGCCAAATGAAAGACTTCAAACCTCATTGCAGCATTTTTATCCGAATTACAGCAGTATCTTCTGCTTTTTATATCTGTTTAACGTCATTTTCTCTTCTCCGATCTTCTTTAAACAACCTTCACTTTTGGCGCCCTGTCTTTAGGCTATCGAAGGCATGATTTAAATTTTCATAGTTTAGAGCCTTCTGGCCTATCAAGAGTAGGTTAAAAAAGTGAACAATTTCAGATTTCTATCTTTTCTTTTCGCAGATCCCCTTCGTTGAATTTTATGCAGCCGTATATTACTGGCCTGTGTCTACAAAATAAGCTGATAAGCCGCCACGAGAACAAAACTTGAAAGGAGTTGTAATTTTTCAAAAACAAGGTTTTAAAAGAAAACCTTTCGGTTTTCTCACGCATGGTTTTCTAGCCGTTTGTGATATCTATGCAAGTGCGAGGTAGAAAACGTTTGCTTTTGGTGGTCTTAATTGCGTTTCAAAATATAAGACTGGCAAAGTTATATCCCATTCGGAGTAAAACTTTGCATAACGGACATCATTTTTGCAACAACCTAATACTATTGGAATAATTATCGTTTGGTGAGTTTTATGTCTGTTCCTGCGGCATGCAGAAAGCAAAACTTTGAACGAGTTGTAGCACACTAACGGCCACAGCACGGAACTATAAGGGATGGATAACAAATTAGATCCGCCTATTGAAATGAAACTCATAAAGATCGGTCCATAATTATACGGACATTCCATATTTTGCCGTTCCCCGGCTCTTCGAAAGAAATGCATGAAACGTTTGGGTAAACGCGCTGCATAAATGGAAATCGGTATCAACCGTGGACAAGCATTGTGCGCCATACACATTTTTGACCGGCTCATATTTTTATAAACATCTCAATCAGAACTCTTTTTCTGCTTAACGCTGCAACCTTTAACATTCACTTTCGTTTAGGCTTACGATCTTGAAGTCTAAGACATCACTACGCGCTGGACCTAATATAGTTCAAAAAGGGAGCTTTACTCTCTACTTTCATAGCTCGAAATGGCTGCGCACCAAGTCGACTCCAAAAATGTTTGGTCAATCAAAATTTTAAACCTTTTTCCAGCTTATGCGATTGAGGGATGAGGAATTAACAAATGTGCGATCCAACGCTCAAAAATATTGATGTAATCGTCCTAGTTGGCAACCCAGTCCCTAACTCACCATATGGTTAAACTTTTCAGCCTCTAAATTCGACTTCTGCATTCTGCAAAGTTCTGGAATGTTGTAAGAACATCGCGAATCTGATTCTGGCCCGTAGTAAAGCTCGATCAGTTGAGGTGAACTCAACTTATCCCATCAGTTCACCTTAGGTGAGGTGAACTGATCACCGTCCACGTTCCCATGCTATAAGATGGTCAATCAACTGATAGTTGACCATCTGTCCACCTGCCGCAGTCAACTCTTCCACATCAGTTCACGTTCAAGTCACCTCAACGTGAACGGATGTTAGAGTGATCCAAATAGTGTGTAGAAGAGGAGACGCAGACAAGAGGTGACTGCATCTAACATAAGTTGCTCCTGAGTAACTTACGATACACACAACTTTGCCAAAAAATGCAGAAAAAATCGGCGCAAAACTGCACAATACCGGCGCCCGAAAAGGGAAGGATCGATGAACAGCTGATTTTGGCGAGGAAAAGCAAAAAACCTCTTTTTCTTTTTTGTAGATTTAACTGACTTTTTTCTTTGACAAACTGCTCAAAGCAAGAATTTGTAGATTTATTTCGTTGGATTTATGTTGCAGTTATTTCAATTTTCCATAAAATTTTCGTCAGAAAATGCGTTTTTGTGTCATCCATGTTTTTTCTAGGCGAAATCCTTGATAGCGGTCATCATCGATTTTCCGATAGTGGTCGCTATCAAAGACGCCCTGCAATACGGCAAAAACGTGGCGCTAGCAGGTGTCGAACCATGACCGCGCGCGTTCAATTTTAGTCCCTTACCTGCTCGACCAAACCAGCTCGAGTGGTTCCCTTTTCAAGAATGCACTCGATTGTGATGCCTCGGAAGCGATCCGCATCCAGATCAATGGCTCGCCGGATGCTAGACTGAGGCGTGATGAGATCAACGCCGGTCCGCGTCGAGAAAGACGCCCTGATGGGGGGTTTACTACGGGCCTCTATATATGATACTAAATTTTGTCTTCTGTTCAAGAAAATGAAAGAAGAGCACTTTGTGCCCTCGAAAATGAAAATGCATAAGCAACTTAACATATTGTTTTTAGAATTTGTGTAGGTACAGTATAATTGAACGATGTGCGTGATTTTGACTTTCTTTGAATTTTTGACTTTTCTGAATTCTCGACTTGTTAGTGAAAGGCATTGTTTTACAAGGCAGACAGCTAAAAATCGCGTTTGTCGTCAACGTGTTGACGCAAGCATGCTTTCCTTTGTTTTCTAGCTTCGGACTTTGAAAAAAGCTTTTGCGAGAAATTCAAAAAGCTCTAGCACTGGTTACCAAACAAACGATACATTTGCCTCACTACAGAACTTTGCGGATTGCAAATGTCCAGTTTGAGACTGGGTTGGCAACTAGGGCGATTACACTTTTTTCGATTGGACCGCACATTTATTGACCTCTCATTCCTCAATCATTGTGAGCTGGGAAAAAGTCTAAAATCTCAATAAATCAGGCATTTTAGAGCCGACTTGGTGCGCAGCCATTTCGATCGAGTTATGAAAGTAGAATAAAGCTCCCCTCTTAAACTTTCTTAGGCCCAGCGCGTAGTGGTCTCAGACTTTGAAAACGTAACCTTACATGGAAGTTTGGATGTTAAAGGTTGCAGCGTTAAGCAGAAAAAAAAGCTCTGATTGAGGTTTTCGTATTAATATAAACCGGTCAAAAACGTATTGGGCGCCCAACACTTATCCAAGATTGACACCGATTTTTCATAGCGCGGATGCTGTTTTCGGCTACGGTCTTTCACATGACGCCAATGGTTTCCTGCATTTTTTTCAAAAGTCCGAGAAACGGCAAAATACGAGGTTTTGCTATAATTATGAACCGTCTTTATGTTTGGAATCCACATGGAACGCTGATTCTAAGTATGCATGTTTCATTCTAAGTATGTATGTATCATTCTGAAGCGACTTGTGAGCGTGCTATCGTAAGTAATTCACATACTTCGAGATAGGATAAGACGACTTGTAGGCTGGGAATCTGCTTAATTCTTATGATTCACCCTTTTCACCTGTGCAGAGTTTTATTGTTGGGCATCATCCTTGTGACAATTTGACAATTTGCTCGCGCTAATGGCCGGCGTCACAGGCCCAGCTATCTGTTATTTCACCGCATTTTCTGGGCACCGCAAGCACATTATATTTAGGCCGTACATACATCAGGCGATTTCACCACTTCGCGATTCCCCCGACAAAGCAACTGTTACGAGTCCATTGCATGCCGATCATCCTGCATCTCGGTTGTAATGACTATTCCCCATCAGCCCAGTCTTAATTTTATCACAACATGCGACGTGATCGGCATGCAATAAACTCGTAACAATTGTCTTGTCGGGAAAATTGCGAGGCGATGGAATCGCATGATGTATGCCCGGCTCGTTAAATAATTTACTCGACTGTAGGTAGTCGTGAAATCAACGGAATTAGTACCGGAATGTAAGATGACGAAAGATTTGGGTGTAACAATTGGACCATCTTTTGAGCTTTCTTAGCACATGTTATTACTACAAAAGCTTATATTGTTCTAGATGCCTAATTTAGATCCAACATTCCCGAAATCTGTAACTATTCAAAAATTATAAGAAGCTTATGTTTGTAATTAAAAGAAATTTCAAAAAAGTAGAGAAAGTTTAACAAACATTTAGCGTTCGCCATATGTTAGCTTTCGGAAAGCCATAACCACAGCAAACATTTAACTTACCATGGACTTCTTGCAGAGCTAAACATGAAGATTCGAGAATAATTTTAAAAAATACAAAAAATAACAAATAAAATAAAAAAACACAAAAAATATTTGTTTTTTTTTCGAGCACTACGCTAAGAACTCAGACTCCAAGCAAGCAAGTAATGAGTAGTTATGCCCTACACAGTAGTTCACGCTGTTACTCTTTCAGCTTACACTTGAAGTTTCTTTATTGAGGAGTGAGATGATACAACGTTTACTCTTCGGGCATTCTCTATTTTACTAACGGTTTCGGCTTCAACTTGAAAAAAAAGTAAATTCTTGCAACGACATTTTAAACAATTAGTCAGTGATGCTGCCGCAAGCTCTTTCTTTATTAACTGAGTGGACTGGCAGCCTTCTTTGTAAAAATTACCCAAAAAAAATCCATTTTAACTGCGGTATTTCAGGGATTAGCGTGTACTTCAATCTTGCCAATATTGGTTCATACGACAGCAACATTCCCTCTCGAACCTGTGCTTTCCTCTCCCTCTTCCCGTTTGCTCGTAGTTTCCATTTTCATAATTTCAAGTTTCTGCCATTAAGGCACGCATGGTTTGGCTCGCTCGCCTTCTTTTCTCCAAAAGCAAGAGTGAATGAGGAATCTCTAATGACAAGGCACACATGGTTCGACTTATTTGTTGTTTTCTCCACCCAGTTAAGAGTAGAGTGTAATTGTTTATCGTTTAGCGATTGTTTATCGCTATTTTGTGCGAATGTTTATCGCTATTCAAAAAGGCAGACCTGATTCTAATTTAAACACAAATGATTTAAATACTGCAAACTTTACCTTTTGTAGTAAAACGTGCAAAAAAAAGCTGCACCTTTTTCCACTGATCTTGTTATAATCATAGCCATGAGGAATCCGGATACGACAAAGAACCTTAAATTCGATTTACTTTAATCAAGGTACTTTACTGTTTAGCAATACACTTAACCGTGTTTGTAGTATACTTGGGTGAACGAAATTTTTCATCGAATGAATGAATATCGAATAAATTCGAAAATGAAAAATTTCGAATAAACGAATATCGAATAAATTCGAAAATAAAAAAATCTCGAATAAACGATTATCGAATAAATTCGAGATAAAAAAAATTCTCAAATGAATGAATGCGAATAAAATCGGAAAATCAAAAACATTGAATGAATGAAAATCGAATATATTCGAACATTGGAAGTCGAATTTCGAATAAATATTTAAATGATTTGAATAACTAGAGCAATCATATCTTAAACTTGCTGAATCCGGTCTAAAGTTCATAATCAGCACCCTCATATCCCCTATACCAACTCCTAGCTCAAGAATCTCCAAAAAATCGCTGAAGTCGATAAAATCGATTATATCTTTAATCAGCACCCTCATTTAAACCCCCCCCCCCCCGTACCAACTCCGGGCCTCGTAGCTCAAGACTTTCCAAAAATCAGTGAAAGCATCGACGTAAATGTTTGTTCCAGTGGCGTACCCAGGATTTCCGTTCGGGGGGGGGGGGGGGAGGCGACAAAAAATTTTTTTTGGATGGAGGTGCGTGGGCGCAAGTAACGGCTGCCACATTGTACTTATATGCCACAAATGCTACGATACCATGCCTGTTTATCGGATATTTTCGGCTTGTGTAGTATAAGTTAGTCGTGGACGAAGGCATGTTGTTTACTCCGCGAAGCAAGCAAGAATGCCCCTATAGCCGCAAGCGTACTGCAGGCATTTCAGTAGCGACGTGGTTTGGCAATAGTTAAATTGTTCAAAACATACGTAGGCGGATTCTAAGTACAGAAAGGAGGGCATTCATCCATTTATGATAGAAAGTTGTACATGCTATACATTTGTGGTAAGTTTCGACATTTGAAGACATCTTGTAACTGGCAAATCGCATACGACTATCGCGTGAAGTATGTGCGGGGCCTGTCATAATCAAAGCTCGCTTTGAATGTGGACTAGGCTGATACCTCCAGGTGTTAAAGGCACCGTCCACCCAAAACGGAGGTTGGCGAGATTATGATGGCATATTAGTGTGGGCCCCCATACTAGACAAACCCCCAAGTTTCGCCGCAAAAGACTGCTTCTGAAGCGAGAAATTCGCTCCGGAAGTAACAAAAGCGCCCCCGGTCGCCCCGCCCACTTGCATGCTTTATCTCGCCTGCACTTGTTGCAGAGGGTTCTCGAAACAAGGATTTTTGGGGGTTTTGCGAATTTTCGACTCCATATTCGGAATCAGTGCTTTCAGAAGGCCTGAAGGCCACAAAAACATTAAATTCGAGTTGGGTGGACCGCCGGGGGCGCCCCGCCCACTTTGTTACTTCCGGAGCGGATTTCTCGCTTCAAAAGCAGTCTTTTGCGGCGAAGCTTGGAGGTTTGTCTAGTATGAGGGTCCACACTAGTATGCCATCATAATCTCGCCAACCTCCGTTTTGGGTGGACGGTGCCTTTAAAGTACCTGCAAGCCTCCATGTATCTTGGATGCACTCTGATAACAGAACCATCCTGTACTATCTACTGAGAGAAAACTTTCTTGCAAGGTGATATGACAGCAAAATCCAGCAACCGTCTAATTCTCCACCACAGCTGCACTGTCCTTTACTCGAAATACACCAATTCGCGAAAGATCTCTAAGGTAGAGAACAGAGGAAGTTGTGCAATATGACTTTTACAAGCAAGTGTGCTCACTAGTGTAAACCTTTGCGTATCAAAAGCATGAGCAATGCAAAGGAAGAGGAACAGGCATGTCAACTTATTTCCAGTGTATGAACTTGGAACATGGAACATGAGCTTGAATTTGATATCTTTTTTGCCAATTTGGTGCCAATAACATTAATCAACCACACCTAATCTTTTTACTGTCAGCAGTTGAAGGAATGCAGCTTACACGTTTAAAGGTGATCGCGGCTGCAAAAAAATGCATTATCGAGTTTTGCAAAAAAACGCAGACAAAAGCGAGCTACTCAGCGGTTGGCTCTGCAACAAACTCGAATAATCTGGTTACGGAGTTCATTCGAATACGATTTCGAATAAACATTCGAATAAAACATTCGAGCAAATTCTATTCGAAACCCCGTTTCTTGATTATTCGAGTTTTCGAATTTTATTCGAAAATTGAAGAACTTCGAATATCGAATTTCGAATGCGATATTCGGATGTTTTATTCGAAAGATCGAATTTCTATTCGATTCGAACCCAAGTATAGTTTGTAGTAGAGACATATAAATGAGTTTTAAATTCAAAAAAACTCACATATCTACTCCCAGGTATCCATTAGGACAATGGGCCGGGAAGAAGTGGAATGCAACAACCGATAAAATAGCCCAGCCGCGTATTCCTTGTATATCTAGTCTTTTCTTTGGCTTCCTACAAACAAGCGTATTCTAGTGATGTCGCGTGAAAAAGCAAGTGTCATTTGGGAAAGTAAAAGAAAATTCTTTTCTTCTTTCAACACTATAAACACGTGAGATAAAAGGACTCTGATAGATCAAAGGAAGATCTATAAAAAAATGATTAGACATCTGCATGTCTCTGTTACGGAATAGCTTGAAATGTCTCAAAATTTGCACGCTTTGGAAAAACCCTTCTGATTTTCTACGTGGCACACACCATAATACATACATGCATTTTTTATGTCTGCTTTTTATAATTAAAAATTAGGAAAAGAAACATAATCGAAAAATAATGTGTGCCTTTCACAGTGCCATCGCAACTACAAACCTTTAGGATTCGGCCACAAAAACTACATAGCAGTAGATGGAACAATGAAAAAGTTTTAGTTGAAGTACTCTCATGATGCAGATTCAACACCAGTTTGTAGAGTGCTGAACGATGATTCCAAAATTTTAGGTTGTCTCTAAGTTTTTTAAATTTTGGTTTCTTACCGCAATAAGTCACATACTTCTCAATTCTGATTAGAATGCAGTATATCGTTGAATAGTTGGATAGTGCAAAGCAAGCTCTATAAGATGGCGTGTAAGTGTTTGCACCAGCTTCAGCATACCGCGATTTAGAATCCGAAATCTGAGAACTTCTGGGTGCCCAAAAAAATGAAACTTTTCTATGTTCTTGTCTAGAGAAAACTTATCAAATCCTAAACTCGCTCACGCATATGCACTACACATGAAACATCTACATATGCCTTTACTGCGTTTGTTTCTGTGCTAAAAAGCGAGAAAACTGATTTAAACTTTCAAAAAAGTGGTGCTGCACTGTTTTCACATAGGTAGGTGTATACTGCAGGCCTTCAAAAATACTTCGGTAATTTTTCAGCTTTCTGGAAGTGCTAGTTCCCGAAAAATATTAAAATTAGCTCATTTTGCTAATGTGTTTTATGTTGAATTCAATTCTTCTCGGAAACTAGCACTTCCAAAAGGAGTAAATTTACCGATGTATTTCTGAGGACCTGTAGTATAGGGAACTGCCGATATTTCTCTGGGAAAACCTTCAGTTTGAGAGGCCATAACTTGCTGCACAATTCAATAGAATGATAGAAGTTTCACTTAATGTGTAGACAACAGTTGGTTGTGCAGAAGCGTTAAGCTTGAAATTTGAGGAAAATTCTTGCTAGAATATTAGGTTGGTCCGAAAGTTCGTTCGCACCATTTTTAAAAAATCATAACTTCCTTCCCTCACAATGATTTTGCGCAATTCAAATTTTCTTAGAAAGCGTAAAGCATGTAGTTTCCAATGGTCCTCTGGCGACTTTCCAGCTTGTTCAGATTGCAGAGATAAAAATGAAAGAACGAGAACATCCGAAATTCGGAATTTTTGAGAAAAAATTCTAAAAATCTAGAAACTGCGCGATAAAATCCAGAAAAGCCACTATCCTAATTTTTCTTATATTTGATTACTAACTGAGTTAAGTTTGTGCTGATCGAGCTCTTCTTTTAAAAGTTATGAATTTTTGAAAAAAAATGCCGAAAAATCACTTTCCTAAGAATTCCTAAGAAATTGATTTTTCGGCATTTTTTTTCAAAAAATCATAACTTGCGAAAGAAGAGCTCGATCAGCACAAACTTAGCTCAGTTAGTAATCAAATATAAGAAAAATTAGGATAATGGCTTTTCTGGATTTTATCGCGCAGTTTCTAGATTTTTAGAATTTTTTCTCAAAAATTCCGAATTTCGGATGTTCTCGTTCTTTCATTTTTATCTCTGCAATCTGAACAAGCTGGAAGGTCGCCAGATGACCATTGGAAACTACATGCTTTACGCTTTCTAATAAAATTTGAATTGCGCAAAATCATTGTGAGGGAAGGAAGTTATGATTTTTTAAAAATGGTGCGAACGAACTTTCGGACCAACCTAATATATCGCAAAAAATTTGTAATCACTCATTTTTATCAACTGCTCTAAAAAGGCGAAAACGCTGTATTTTAAATTTTCTCGCCGTCAAAGATGATAACAACTTCCGTTTCTTTTGTCATCAAATGTACTGTGCCTATTCCTTGTGCTCACGACGAAAAGTCTGCATTTGCTTCGTACTTAGGATTTCTATACATTGCAGAATGATAGCAGCGGTTGGGCGTAAAATAAGATTTTTCATTCTAAAAACTTTTAAAAAATCTGTTATAATTTGCATTTTGTAGCAAGAGGCACATGCAAACATTATGCCAGTTTGCGAAAAATTCCGATTATTCGCGGTGAATTTAGAGCAAAGAGTTTGAAAAGAAAATAATTAAGCAAAAAGCTAAGATAAGTTCCACTACTCTCAAAACGGAATGCTTACGAAGAAGAGTGCCTTCAGGTGATATGCATAGTTTTTGAGACAATGGAATTTTATTTTGAATCAGCACATTGGAAAAGAAGTGCGAAAAAGCTGAATGTTTCTGTCTGTATGTCTGTATGTCTGTATGTCTGCATGTCTGTCTGTATATATGTATGTGTGTACGTATGTTCCGAATAGAAAATTCCATTTCTGAACCGATGCGGACCAAACTTCGCACCATACACTTCGGGGCAGGGAGCGTGTCATAGGCTACTTTTCGTCATCGATCGTTATCGATTTTATCGATTTTTATCGATTTTTTCGCAGAGTTCGCCTACGAGGCTGAGATTTTGCACAAGGGGGTAATCGATCCTCAGCGCAAAACTTTAAAGGCGTTTTGGATTAGCGCCGAAAATCCAAAAATGAACCGGAAGGAGGAGTGTACCGCCATAAAAAGGGAACTCGCGCTTTATCAGTCCTTATGCGGATTTGAATTTGAGGCCGGGTCACCAGGGCACGTATAAAAGAGCTGAGGTATTTTCTTGTGTATAGGTGATCTTCAGACTTCAGACTTCCGTCTTGTGCTATCTAAGGTGAGTACTTTGCTTGTAAATATGATTTTATTCGCACTAGATTTGTTTTCGGATGATACTTTGGTCTTTTGTTGACTCTGGGCCAGTAGGTTTAGATGATTTCGGCATGCAGGCTCTGAAGAAGGCGAAAGCGTCGAAATGTTAACGAATAAAGAAGTGTTTTAACCTTGGAAGTTTGCTCAGCCAATTTCATTACGACTAAATGCTTCCTAGTCTTGGGTTCCAAAAAAGGCCTGTATTTCTGTAAATTAGGCATTCTATTTAGCTTTTACCAAGGCTATGAAATAAAATAAGCTCTTTCGATAGATATGTTGTTATTACAATTGTTACAATACTCTTTCGATAGATATGTTGTTGTTGTTTTTCGGTTACATCATCATGCAAACAATGCAGCTGCTTCATATTGAATGTTTGTCCGAGAAATAAGCTAAGTTTTAAGGCTCGAATAAATGCTATCTTTGGGGTAAGGTTGGAATTTAGTTGAAAAACGCACAAAAACGCAAAAAGTTTCCCCTCGTCAAACAAAATGTCTATCAGAAAAGCTTATTTTATCTTATAGCTTTGGTAGAAGCTAATTAGAATGCGTAAAACACAGAAAAACAGACGTTTTTGGAGCCTTGATTCCAAAAGCGTTCGGAGCCATCTGGGAAAATGCCCTTTTTTTTAAACTGCACTAGCTTCAATGTGTAGTGGATATTTTCCGCTTTGTTACCTTATCTACAAAAAAATTTGGACTCGCAAGATTGCAGTCTCGAATGAAAAGTGGACTTTTGTTCGAGGTGTTCGTATAATTATGAACTGCACTTTGGTGTGTGAACAGTTCAGCATTACTTTCCTAAAACTTTGACAATTGTTTTGTCATACATGTAAATGTCTGATGCAACTAGCAAATCTTCTAAGCAAGTTTCAGGTTTGCATAATTCTCTGAAACAGATTTTCACAAACAATTTTTCTCCATTATTTCAAGCTTTGAAATTTTTTTGAATTCTGATCTCAACTTCGCGTCTGTTGAGATTGGTGTGAGTATTCAAAAGCCATTTCGTAGGGCTTGCTTTGCGCTGCCAGATGGTTCCCCTCATACGTTTTCGAATGCGCTTTGTCGTGGTACCATAAAAAAGTGACATTCACTACTTTAGCTTGATACAAGACGATTTAAGGTTTTCTTGTTCTCTTACTGTAAACTAAGGCTAGTACGAGATAAGGTTGATGCAAATCTTGAAGAAAGTCAAGCTTGAGGTGAGAACACCATTATAGGGAGGCGTTTCGAAGGGTCACATGGAAAGGTGTCGTGATCGTGGTAATAGCGATTTTGGAAACACCATGTTTGTCAACGATGCCAAATGGGCAAGATTTGCAAAGTCAAAGTACGCGGAGGTATTCGACCTATCATGGTACCGAGCATTAAATCTGAGAAAGCACCACCAAACGTAATGAGCATCATTTTCGTAACTAGCATGTCGACTATTCCCTTCAAACCATGGTTTAGCGCTGAGGTTTTGAAATATCGAACCACCCAGGTAAAATGGTTATTTTCGAACATAATTAACTAGCATTACTAGCACAACATTATTTCAATTAACTTTGTTAGGAAGGTGAGTTAACTACCTTCTCAGACAATCACCGGGGCAGGCCGACCGCAAACTTGCGCTTTCTCGAAAGCGGTCGTCAAATAAATTTTTTGAGCAAGCGCTCGAAGAACCCTTTTCACAGAGTTTCGGGCCTACGCTGAGCAGAGGTAACACTCTACTGACAGTGGTGAACTCTATACTCTCCCCTGTAATTTTGCATATTCTCGCGGAAAGCCCGCGAGAATGCAGCCACTGCGCCGCAACTGATCTATAAAAAGCCGTGATTGTTCTCTGAGCAATTGTCCAAGAATTCCTTTTCCAAAACATCCTTCCACATATCTGCAAACGAAACCGCAGGACATCAGTAAGCATTAGTAAACACTATTTTTCCGATGCCCGCTTGCCACGGCGATTATCCAAGTAGGGCTGTGCGCTCTTTCACAAAGGACCGTGCGGCCCTCAATAATTTTGCTTATTGCGGAAACGAGAAAGCGGT